CCTTGTAAATAGTTTTATATCTTAGCGTAGTAGTTATAGTTAGTATAGTATGAGCAGCAAAGAGTCCTGTGGCACCTTATAGATTAACAGACGTATTGGAGCATGAGCTTTCGTGGGTGAATACCCACTTCGTCGGATGCACCCACGAAAGCTCATGCTCCAATACGTCTGTTAGTCTATAAGGTGCCACAGGACTCTTTGCTGCTTTTACAGATCCAGACTAACACGGCTACCCCTCTGATACTTAGTATAGTATATAATTAGTATATAATAGTCATGTCTGTCATCCCCCCCACCTCTGCAAAGTCAAGGGAAATCCTCCCTGGCCCCGGGACTATGCCCAGAGTCCCAGGGTTCAAGAATTGCATCTTCTGCCCTTGCTCCTTCTCCATCAGAGATGAGCATCCACGGTCCCTGTACTGTCTGGGTGAGGCACATCTCTCTGCAAAGTGCAGTATCTGTCGATCCTTCTTTCCCAGAACTAGAGAGGCCCAAGAGCTCTGATTAAAAAAGTTGCTGGTGGAGCAGGCAGTGAACTGCGGTGCACTGGTGTCTATCTCTGTTAGGCCACATGGCTGCATGCACCTGCGTGCCGTTCACCAGACTTCACTTGTGGTGCCTCCAAGCTTGGATCCACTCCACCTACCAACCAAACAGGGATCGCATTGACTCCCCCATGACTGTTCCCACCAGAGTTCTCACCTCCTTCGTTTGGTGGTCCAACCCAAACAAAGTCATGGCAGGGACTCCCTTCAGCCCTCCCATACCAAGGGCCACCATCTTGACAGAAGTTCCCTTACTGGGTGGGAGTGCTCACCTGGACTACCACATTGCTTGGGATACCTGGACCCCAAGAGAGGCCAGGCTACCCATAAACTTACTGGAACTGAGAGCGTTCCAGCTTGCGTGCAAGACCTTCCTTCTCCTCATACGCTCGCTCCATGTGGAGATAATATCACCACAGTGGTCTATATAAACAAACAGGGAGGAGTGAGATCTCGTCTCCTCTGCCTGGAAGCAGTCAGACTTTGGAACTGGTGTATCAGAAACTACATTAGAATACAGGCCGCATATCTCCCAGGTGTTCATAACTCCCTGGCAGACTAATTAAGCTGCAGCTTCTCTGTAGACCTTGAATGGGAGATCCACGACACAGTTCTAACCAACACATTCACACAATGGGCCACTCCACTATGGGACCTCTTTGCATCTCAGACGAACAGGAAACTTCCTATGTATTGCTCCATGGAAGCCACAGGCTACGATTTCCAAGGCGACGCTCTCCTGAATGGACAACCTCAGATACGCCTTTCCTCCCATCTCCCTACTACCACAAGTTGTTTGGAAGAACCATTGCAACAGAGCCACCATCATCCTAGCATGCTATTGGACCAGACAGTTCTGTTTCACAGAACTCCTAATGATGGCCGCACGCCCATTTATCAGGATTTCCAAACCCAGGATAGGGGGAAAATCAAGCATCCCAACCCAGGTTCACTCCACCTCCTGGCCTGGTGTTTGGAAGCGCATCGGAAATAGAATGTTCAGGCTCCACCCCGTTCAGGAAATCCTTAACCAAAGTAGAAAAGATTCTACTAGCACCTGCTACCTGGCTAAGTGACGGCGCTTTTCGACCTGGGCACATCATCACCAACATTCGCTTGATACTGTGGGCATCCCAGTTATCCTAGATTATCTCCTCTCCTTAAAGCCTTCAGGTCTGGCCCTTAGTTCGCGCTGGGTACACCCATCAGCGATTGGTGCCTTCCTCTCTCCAGTGCAGGGATGATCTGTCAGTATGCACCTGGCTACTGTGCGATTTATGAAGGGCTTGAGCAGGACCTTCCCACCAATCATTAACCCTATGCCTCAATGGGACCGTAACCTTGTTCTGTCAATGCTCACAAGTCCACCCTTAGAACTTATGGCAGCATGCGCCATGATAACCCACCTGACCATGACGGTGGTGATCTTAGTTGCCATCACTTCGGCCAGAAGAGTCAGTGAGCTAGGAGCCATGATGGCAGACCCTCCTCATACAAGTATTTCACAAAGAGAAGGTCTCCTTTAGGTTACACCCCAAATTCCTCCCCAAGATTGCTGCTGAGTTTCACATCAATCCATCAATACATTTGCCTGTATTTTTCGCAAAACCCCATGCTTCTGCTGAAGACAAGAGACTTTACTCCCTCATTGTCAGGTGTGCCCTGACGTTCTATCTGCAAACAACCAAACCCCTCACACAATCTCTGAGACTCTTTGCTGTTTTGAAGCATTCTAAGCATCCTGAAACTCACTTAGAAATCCTCTCTGAGGCTATGGCTTGATCCCAAGATCTTTCTACTATGGCAACAAACTTTCCCTGTCCTGGGGGCAGTGTTCCCTCTAATTTTTCTCACCCATGTACAGAATGAATTTTGTTATGTGCACTGATATGGAGGTGATGTGTCACCTTCATATCCATGCACTTAACAAAATTCATGTGGTGGGGGTGGGGCTAAGGTATTCGGAGTTTGGGAGGGGGCTCAGGGCTGGAGCAGAGGGTTGGGGTGCAGGTGTGTGAGGGCTCTGGCTGGGGGTGTGGGCTCTGGGGTGGGGCGGGGAGGAGGGGTTTGGGGTACAGGGGGGTGCTTTGGGGCTACAGCAGAGAGAGAGGACTCCCCCCAGCTCTCTCTCCCCACAGCAGCACCTGGGCTGGAGGGGAGAGGCGCCTCTTGCCGCTGCGATGTCTCTGGGACTGGGGCTGCAGGATAGGCGCCTCTCCCCCATCCGCAGCAGGTCTGGGACAGGGGAGGGCTGCCCTGGCTGTGCCTGGGGCCAGGCTGGGCTGCTCCAGCTGCGCCTGGGGCTGGGCCGTGCTGCCCCGGCAGATCCGAGCTCCCCAGCCACAGTAGGTCCGGGCCGCATCCCTGTTGGGGCTGGGGGAGGAGCGCCCCGGCAGGCCCCCAGGCAGGTTCTCTGAGCGCCTGCACGGGGCTAAATAGGCTGCTGTGCGGCCACGCAGCTTACAGGGAACTTAGCCTGGGGGTATTACAGCTCACTCAACACGAACACAAGCTGCCTCCACAACATCCTTATTGGATGTTCCACTGCAGGACATTTGCAGGGCAGCAACTTGGAGCTCTTTCCACACGTTCACGACACACTCTGCTCTAACTCAAGCCGCAACTGCGGATGCAGCTGTAAGGATGACAGTACTACAAGCATCTCTGCTACCAGCTTCCCCTCACCCTCCTCCAGTCAGAACACCATTTGCCAGTCACCAACATGTGGAATACACTTGGGGGCCATCACTCGAAGAAGAAATGGAGGTTACTTAGGGCTTGTCAACACTACAAAATAAGGTTGACTTAAGTTAGGTCGACCTACAACCACTGTGGTAATTACATCAGCTGTTGGTGTACCCCCCTTCCGCCGGTGGTGCGTGTCCTCACCAGGAGCCCTTGCACTGACTGAAGTGGGGCATTGACAGCTGGAGTCTGGGGCACTGACAGCTGGGTGGGACTCCTCCACCTGGCCCCAGGGCTGACTAGGTGTCAAAGACATTGTTGCCCTGTGCTGCAAGTTCTCATTCCTAATATTCCAGACAAGCCTCATTTTAAAATAGTTCCAAGTTTCACAGGAGTCAGTTCTTGAGCTTTCCCTTTTACTATATCAATAATTTGGCATCCCCTGGGTGTTGTCAGAGACCTGAAATTCTTTCTCAACAGAACTTGAGAGTTTAAAAAAAAATCAAAATGTGTTTGTCAGAAGGATTCCCGTTTTGTGCAGGCCAAAAGGATATGCATCTCGGAGACTTACCCCAGAATATTAAAGCTTGCTTCACTCGGGATACGTTAACCTCTTGACTGAGAAAAATCAATAAGGTTTGCCAGGCTGTCACCTGTATATCTACACAATCACCCATTTCTCAGATGTTGCAGCTAACTGTAATGTAGTGGGAGCAGTCCTCTGGAAACACTAATCAGAGTTAAGGCTAAGATTTTGTCACGGATGTTTTTAGTAAAAGTCATGGACAGGTCACAGGCAATAAAGAAAAATTCACGGAAGCCCGTGACCTGTCCGTGACTTTTACTAAAAAATATCCGTGACAAAATGGGGAGCTCAGCTGCGGGGCCCCACACCGCCTGCAGCTGCTCAGCAGCTATGGGGGCCACTCCAAGCTCTGGGGCCCCCACCACCCATGGAAGCTTGGAGCTCCATGGGCCCCCACTGCCCACAGCCACTTGGAACTCTGGGGTACCCCTGCCGCCCATGGTGGCCGGAAGCTCTGGAGATCCCCCGTGGCAGTCAGGATTTCCGGGGGCCCCTTCCAGGCAGGGGGGGGGGTACCCCACACCTCCTGGCCGCTGCGGGCAGCGTGGGGACCCTGCAGCTCCCAGCAGCTGGGAGGAGGTTGCTGGAAGTCATGGATTCTGTGACTTCCACAACCTCCGTGAAAAAATTGTAGCCTTAATCATAGTCTCCTCTCGGATTTAGCATCTCACACAGTCTGGGTTTCTCAAGTTCTGCTAGGTATGATATTACACACAATGAGAGACTTGAGCAGAAAGGCAAATTTGTACTTACCTGAGAATTCTGTTTCTGTGACGTCTTTACAGATTCTCCACCAAGAAACCAACCCATTGGCTTGTTCTCAGTAGTAATTAATATCTAGCTCTGACATAATGCTTTTCAGACAAAAGAGGTCAGTATCATTTGCCTCCTTTTACAGATGTAGATTATTAGTTAGGTTGTCATAGAAAGAGAGTTATCGCCTGGTTAGAGTGGGCTGCTCTAGAGAGGAGGGAAGAGTGACAAAAACTTAGCAGCAGCTTGTCCTAATCACATTGGTGACGCGGCCCATGTTCCAGAAGAGGGGAGACACGTCACAGAAATCTAATTCGCTGGTAAACCAAATGTGCTGTTCCCGCACTGCACCAGTAGTGTAATATAGTAATGTCTAACTGTGATTATCATCTCTAATTGGTTCCATTGTGCCTTTGTTCTCCCTTTTTCAGATGGGTATGCATTTTCTCAAGAAGAACATGGAGTTGTTTCTCAGTCTCAAGTTGTTCGATCCTACGACACTACCAAACAGAGAGCTGGAGTAGAATAACACAGTTCTTTCCTGGATTGGTGGTGGGAGTAATGAGATTTGGATCAATGCAGCCACTGTTAACACATCCTTGACTAAGGTTGGCAGCAGCAGCCAAAACACCGGAACACTCATTTCTGTGGCCTTAGCCAACACATTTGTTATGTATTCCCCCTGCAGACCTTGAGCACACATTGTGGGGAAATCATTGTTTTAAATCTAGCGCAGTGCTCCGCCTAACTTTTGTTTATGTTGTTATGAAGCATTTGACTGTGCTATGTGAGGTGTGAAATTAAAAACATTATGTTTTACCACTATTTAAAACAGCAGTATAAATTGTTCTGGGAGAAAAGTAAAGAATTTATGTTCCATGAGAAATTGGCCTTTGCTTAATTGGAATGGGGTACTGACATTTCCTGTTTTGTTACTTACAGATTAAGTACACAGAGCTGCATGTAAGTCTTACTCTATAACATTCACTGTTTACTTTAGCTGATTGAATTTTGAAATGGACAAATTAGGTATAAACTTTTTGATTGAACAAAACAACACAGTATATGGTAGGCTGGAAAAGCTAAGTGCTTATTTTGCATACCTAGTCATGACAAATTAACACAGTATGGCAATTCAGTCTATAAAATATTTCATGACCTTTTACAGGATTCTTTATCTTAGCTTTCTTTAAAAAACATATTCACATAGAAAGTATCTATAGGTCCCTCGGGTCGCATGGGAGGACAGGTGCAGTGATTGCATGCGTTCTGCACAGGGAATATCCAAAAATATACAACCCCTTTCCAACAGTTTTGTGCATTGTACTTGGATGAGAACTTCAAATCTGGGCACGAGACATCCCTTTTTAAACTACACCGCTACCTCGATATAACGCGACCTGATATAACACGAATTCGGATATAACGCAGTAAAGCAGTGCTCCGGGGGGGCAGGGCTGCGCACTCCGGCGGATCAAAGCAAGTTCAATATAACACGGTTTCACCTATAACACGGTAAGATTTTTTGGCTCCCGAGGACAAAGTTATATTGAGGTAGAGGTGTATATAACAAAACATCAAGAACTGAAATGCTCAGTGTATCTTCCATGTTATTCTGCAGCAAGAAAGCAACCTCCAGCAAAGAGTTGGGTAGTGCAAGGATTATTGGGATTCATAGGAGTGGGCAGGGACAGAAACTGCTTCAACATTTCCTCCCAGTGCTGAGGTTCACATTCTCCTTTCTAATGTCTGAAAATCTGGTGCCTTTACATCCTCTGCTGGTGGATTCTATGTAAACTCATGGGACAAGAGTACATTTTGGACTGTCACATGCCAAAATGCGCATAATGTCTGCGCAAGAAGGGAACGGCTGTGGAAAAGATCAGTGCGTGTTACCAAATCCTCTGTGGCCATGGAGTCTGGAGGGAACTCGTACCCCAAAAAACCCAACTTTGAAACGGGGGGAAAAAAGCCTCTTTCTGCCCAATGCTTTGGAGACATTGTTTGAGCACATTTCATCCTTTTGAAAAGCTGACCCCCCGAGCACTGCCACAGCTGCTTTAGAGTAAGTGAGGGATGATTGCACCAGTTCATGTTGTCACATAAAAGCATTGCTAGCCATGAATCCAGCAAGCTGGAAGGAATGCTGGTTGTACTCAGGGCCGCTGAGAGCAGGTTTGGGCCCCGGTGAAAAAAAATTTTCGGGCGTCCCAGCAAGGGCAGACCAGCTAAACAGGACCAACAAGAGGGGGGGGAAGCCGGGCCCCCTTCCAGACTGCCGGGCCCCGGTAATTTGTACCGGCTTCTCCCCCCCTCGTCGGCCCTGGTTGTACTGACTTACTTTCTGAATGGGACAGGCCTGCTATTGCCTGTGTTGGAAGTATGCAAAAATCTGAAAGAAGTGGGGCAGAAGTAAGAACTGAATAGAGCCCTTAGAAAGCTAACACTGTCCTCCAGACGAGGCCTATTAATTTTAGTCACCAAACCATGTTTTTGAATAGCATAAAGTAAATATTGCTGCGCAGTTTGTGTTCAGCCAACTTTCTCAGTTATTGCATAAGCTATACATGTGCACTTAATAAGCCGACACTGTTTTTGCCCTACTGACCATCATCCAGAACGTTTATTGATTTAAGTCTAGTTGAAAGTAATTCAAATATGAATATTTATGCTCAGCAAGCAAGAGCAAAACACTAGCTTGGCTCACTGACTTAAGGGACTTGAGTGATCTCCAGCACTTGAACACCACAGTTCAATTCCCAGTGCCACCTCTAAGGCCTAGATTTCTCTCATATTGAACAGTAAATTTTCTGGTCCTACAGCACCATGCAGGATTGGTCTTGGATTATGGTGATGATTTGGAGGGAAAAGTCACCACCTTCTAGTTGCAGTGCTAATGAGGGAATTATGCAATGAGGGAAACTTGCAAGTAATTTGCCACAGGCATGAATGTCAAGGGGCTCACTCTCGCTCTGTGTGTGTGTGTGTGTGAGAGAGAGACAGACAGACAGACAGACAGAGACATGGATGAGGCATAAAGGAGAGAGTACAGAGAGGGCAAATAAACAAAAGACAAAACCTGATCTCAGGCGTATTAGAACCTTTTTGTGTCAGTCCAACATATTAAACATTTTCTTTTTATTCAGAAACTAGTCCTGCTTACGAATTACACAAGGTAAATCTGCACTTGGACAAAGCTGCTGTTTCTTCCTTTTCCAACACCACAGAGTAAAATTAACTTCCTACACGGACAAAAATAAGCCTTTGTACTCTAAACTACACTGCAAATGTTAATATTTAAGTACTTTCAGAGGGTTTTTTTAAAAGTATGTTAAAAAGTACATAAAAATTGTACAAACAATAATGCAAGTTAAGCCTGCGCATTGAGGGGAGCATAGAAAGACCCCGTACTCGCTTCAGTTATTTTTTTAATGCAACAAACTTTTGAACAGCAAAATGAGGGATGCTGTGGAGGAGCAGCTGTCAGCTGCTGTGATTTATTTTACTAGCACTGACTATGGGCTGTATCTTTTTGACCTAGCTCTACATGGAGGTCAGAGAGTGTCACACACAAACCCTCACTAGAGTGACTAGTGGATTGAACTGAGATACATACGTTAATGTCAGCTCAATGAAAACTACACATGGGCCTGATCACACAGCTATACAGTATGTGACATGGGGACTGGTAGGTCAAATTTTATCATTAGTGTAGGACCTTACTGTGGATCTGGGTTAATCCTGTAGCACCCACCCAGGTCAAGACCTGGCATTCTTCTTGTCCTTCGGAGTCATTACAAGCACTGATCTATTGTAGTAAGCTATATCCTGGCTGTTTTAGTTCCTTGTCTTTGTGAACAGTGATTAGGTGTATTCCAGCACGTATTAGCAAAAAAGAGAAGCACAACAGCTCTGTATCAACAAAATTCCATGTTCAATCACAGAGCTGCATATAGCAGCAGGAGCAGTCTTTGAAACAACGCGGTGAAAATGTTATCAACTAGACAGGGGAGCAGAGCAGAATAAGCTAAAGATTTCAGCTTGACAGTCTGTATTAACACTTCAGTGCTGACCAGAAAATGGACTCATTGGCAGCTCTCTGCATTGACCAATCTGCCAGTTCTGGGGGACAGCTGATGTGTCTCTTCCTAGGCTCCTTTGTGAAAAACAGACATTATTTGTCCCTTCGGATCAATACAATGCACAAGCCGGAGGGGGGCATGGAAACTACTGTTTCTTTAACAAAATGCCTAGTAAATTAAAACCGGTGAACTAGACTTTGAGCAGAGCGCTGCTGAGAAGTCTGTTGACATTTTTGTTTCCTTGAAAGAGCTTCAGGTCTTGCTGTAGGGAGCAAGCAGAAGAAGTCAGTAATAACTTGTCAAGGAGGAACAGTGAATAACTAATCAAAGTATCTGAGTCAAACTAAGTTGCTAATATATTTAAAAATGTATGTGGCGTTAACATAAACTATATGGGCTGTAAATTAAGATAACAGTCAAACTCACTAATCTGCAAGTCACTAGACCACACACTTTTTAATGTTTGCCAAAAATGTGCATTCTCTCTCCACCACTCAGCTAACAGTTAATAGCAGATGCTGCAGTGAAGTCTCCTATTACTGAGATTACATAATTTTTACAGCACATATTACACTGTGTTTGCTAGGAGAATATCAATGATCATAAATAATGAAAACTAAACTAAGGTGGGCAAAATACATGAAAAGTCCATGTTGTGATGCCAGCTTTGTGCTTGTTCACTTAGGGTGACATTCAGCCCTGTACAGAGGGCCAGCACAAGACTTAAGTGGGGCATAAGCCTGGTGCCACCCTAGTCACAGGGGTTAATTTCACCCTTACGGGTTAATTCACAAAAATGCAGTAATTTGTACTGGTTCTCCCATGCTTCAGCATGAATCAGTGAAGTTCTGGTGTCTGTTCTGCAAGCAGCCATGGCTTTATAACTAGCATGGATGTCATTTTAATTTCATTTTTAAACTACTCTGGGGAGTGTGCTCTTGCCCTTACGCTTAGCACTCAGGGATTTGAACTGGAAACAGTTGCTTTAATGGGACTCACACCCAAGAAACCCTGTGGAGTTAGATGAGCTCTCGCCTAGTTTTGAAACATGGCAAAATGTTTTAGCCTAGTTCTGACGCATTGTGCGAGGTCGCAGACCTGAAGTAATTGAGGCAGTAGTTTAAAACTCAGTCACCTGGTGTAATGAGGCCTTCATCTGCTGATGACCCTAAATATATAGAGAGAGAGAGTGATGAAAAAGAGCATTGTAACCAGGGCAGTACCTGACACACTGATGTGCAAATAAAGAGGGGTTGTGAATTGAAATCCAGATGATTGGGTGTCCAGTACAACTAGCAACTACTGCTGTGCACACCAGTGTTTTTCAAAGCCAAAGTCGGAGATAGGACAAGACTGGCAGATAATTATGAAAATGACAGCTGGGTTTATTAACAGCACTCTATCAGTCTATCTACCAGTCTGGACCCCCTTGTGTAGTGAAAGGATCATCATACAAGAGTGTATATGCACTTGCCCAATGAATGACCGAAGAGCAGAGGCCTGTTCTATAGCATGCTCCTCCCTCCCTCCCTCTCTCACTTCCCTCAAGTGCCCTTTGTACAGGAGACCTATCCCCATATTTAGCTTCTTGGGAGTCAGGTGGGGCCAGTGAACCATCAGGTAGCTGGGCTTTGGTATACTGAGTTCTAATAAGTCTATGGCCACATAGAAACTGTATGGTTATTATTTATACTGCAAACCATGGTCACGTGACTATTCCCAGAAACAGTGGAGCTAGAACATCCTGCTTCAGGAACACAGAGCCTAATTCCTTGAGAAGCGCCATTAGCAG